GCGGCTGCCCCGCCCCCCCCCCCCCAGCCACACACCCCCAGCAGAGGAGAACCCAGAACCTGTAACACCTGAACCACAGCCCCTCACTGGCGCTTGAGGCTCTGCTCCTCACACAGCTCTTGCTACCACTTCTCTTCGGTGGCACAAGGAGGTGGTAATCGGCTAAACCAACCTCCAGCTGCCACCCTGGCAACCCCGGGGATGGCTGCTGGGCCACGCACCCCACCACCCCCATGCGGCCAAGAACTGCTCCAGCCAGGAGAGCTCCTTTCTCGCTGAGAAGCTTCTGTAAAAGAAGCCAAATTCCTTGGCTTCATCGCAGCTGCTTACTGAAGGGGTCATAACTGCCTGAAAATTAATTCAGAATTACACTACTTTCCCCCCCCGGAATGCTTCACATTAACCGTAGTCTCCTGGGAGCAGCAGTAACTGGTTTTCAGAATACACGGCCCTTCAAGCACGTTCCTGGTTCTACCTCTTTGGGCTGCGCAGTCACTACACCCTCTCGGCGGGACGGGAGGCGCGGGAAGCGCTTGCGGCATCGCGGGAAGAGGCAGGGTCACGCCGGGACGGTCCCTCCCTGCCTGTCTGCTGCACTCCAGAGCTCTGCCCAGCTGCATTCCCATTTCAGTCCAGACAGCTCCTGCTGCATGCAACAACTTCAACTGCACTCACTCACCGCTCAGCGCCTCAACTGCTCCTGCAGAACGCCTGAAAGCATTTAAAATAAGAGCATTATTGTAAATGTCAGTTGTGGCCATTTTTAACCTGCATGCAGTAGCTGTAACTTACCCACGCTCACCGTAAAGGAGCCTCCACCTTTGCCTTTCCAAACTGTAAGAGTACACTAAAGGTCGGGCCCTGCCTCCTCAAAGCATCACGCCTTCTCCCACAGAGGAGCCCAGAGCAGGACAGGGAGAGCCCAGGTAACAGAAAATGCTGCAGCAGTTTAAGATTAGACATCAGAATACCATCCCACCAAACGACCACGAACGCCACCTTTAACATCCGCACCAGAATTTTTCATGACTGCAACCAACAGCTTCAGTGGCCTAGCAGAACTGTACAGCCTTTGTTATTTGTTTACAGGAAAAAAAAAAAAATGTTGAGCTGCCACATTTCAGTAGCCTCAACCAGCAGAAGAGGATTAAACCTAAACCAGCAAGAAAACAGCGAAGGCTATTGACAATCAGTGCTATTAGCACAGGACCCACAGCCTTCCCCCCACTGGCTTAGGGCCAGATGTGTAGCAAGCGGACCCCTCAGCTGTTCCTTTTGGTAATTAAAATAAATTTGCACCTGTGATACAAAATTAACTCGGGAACAAGAGGACTCGCCCCTGAAGTACAGTTGTTGCTTTGCACACAGAGGGAGGCTCTCAGGAGGCCGCTAGTTTTCAAAGCTGTTAAGTTTGGGGAGGGCTGAACAACTCCTGGCCTTCACCCCTCGGCACCTGGTGCTTCGTTTCAAACAAGCAAGCACTCGCTCAGAACCTAACAGTGCCAAAAGCTCAACCCCAGGCAGCCAGACAGCAGGGGGGACTGACAGGTCAGAACATTTCACAAATTCTTTTACTAGAAGTATTTTTTACCTTCCTTTGTACAGTACCAAGCATCACAAAGCTGTCAGGAATTCAACTAAAGTCAGAGTCCCTATGTTTATCTGCTTTCTCCTTACATCAAATTCACGGAAGCGAAGCAGAGAGACATCAGTGGAAGTCAGGGAGGCCGTGCCAAGGCTGTGACTAATCCTCTCACAACAAATCTGGAAATCTTCAGCAGCAGTTGTGCAAATATTCAGACCGCTTTTCAGCAACTGTTTGCATTCTGGGTGAAGCCATCCACGCTCCACCATACAGCCAGCTACAAATACTAAAGCCGCGCTAGAGATTAAAAATTGTCAAGGAAGCGAGCGTTTTAAGCAGCCTTGTGACCGAGCCTGCTTAACGTGAAGCCAACTCTACCCTTCCGTGGGCTGCATTCCAGGCCTCAGCGCGTGGACCAGCACGCGCATGTCAAGTTGCAGTCACATTCACAAGATGGTAAGTGTTTTTGGAAAACAGTTTATTTGGGAATTACATAGTATTTTAAATTTTCCAAAATACATCTTACTAGATCCCTACAAAATAAATCTAAATAAGTACAACAATATGAAATTAAGTTTGTTGCAACAGTCATTAAATATTTACTTTCACTAATATATACATACAAAATGCCACACAATGAGCTCGTTTACCCTTGGAATGTATGCTGCGTTCCAGCAGTTATGCTCCATCTCCATATCCTCCAGTTCCACAACATGAAGATCTATATTAACACTTTGTACATCCTTTATTATAGGCAAAAAAATCAAAAGTTTTCTGTTGTCAGAGGTTTGGGGTTTTTTTTTTTTATAGAAATTAAAAGTAACCCTCTGGAATTTCACAGCTGTGGTAGTTTGTCTACTGGGGTATCAAACTTGAAGTCTGCTGGGAAGAGGTCTGGAGCTCGAGGATAGATCAGCCTGTACGATTGTCTAATCGTAACGTCAGCCACACCGGCAATATCACCAATTTCTAAGACAAAAAGCAGATAAGTGATTAGTTTTTACTTTTGCCATTTGTATTGAAGAAACCAGCAAGCGTAATTTATCAAGAAGTGCTCTATGCTCAGCTTAATTCCTAACTCTCCCAAAAGCCTGGAAAAAATGGTTTAAACCATGGTTACTAATGTTTGACATACCTAAGTCTGTCTTCTCACGTGCCGTAATTCAACTTACGCTATCAATCTTGGAATAATACCAATTTCAAATTGGCGGAGGGACAAGAGCGCAAACATTAGAAATATCTACTGCAAACTCTACTTGTGCCCAGCAACATTCCAATAAATCGTCATCAGCATCAGGATCTTCATTTTTTGCGCTTTAATTAAATATAAGCAAAACCAGCAAAAAAGTTAGGCATAGCCAAAAAGCGGTACCTTCAGCTAAACATGAAATACATTTACTTTAATGCACAGAGAAGTAACTCAGAGGCACAGAGCGCTGTTTAACGAGCAAAGGAAACACTTGAGATGCACAGAAACCTGAATTTAGTCAAGATTTAACCAAGTGTGGAATTTAAACCTTGAGCTGCATGAAAGCCTCCAGCATTGTCTGAGGACGCTGACGGAGCACGGAGTCATGTCTGCACCCATGGCAGGCAGCTGTACTTTGTTTTAACATCACTCTTATGAGACATAATCCAATAGCTCAAGGCAAGCAAGGATGAAGGCACCGTATGGCTTGGACTTGAGATCACTCACATGCCCAGGGGACTGCCAGCATGATGAAAGCTCCGGGGACAGAATAAGCAGTGATTAATGCAGAACAAAGCACCAGAACCTGACAGATAAAGGCTGTTCTTTTACTTAAAAGCAGCTCTTCGCTAAGAAATTGCTAGAGTTTTAACATTTCTGATCTGAATGGGACTGGACACATCAGAGCTGCCCCCACAGCCAGCTACCAGCGCTTGGATCCGTTTGTCGCACCAAGTTCTAACCACCGCAGCCTTAGCTCCCTTCCCTCTCCACATGCTGCCCCCACAGAGGCCCGATTCTCTTAAGCCCTGGTGGCTGACTCGTGCTGCTCTGAAGCTCAAGAGCATCCCTGAACACTTCACTGGCTTCCTAAGGGCTGCCCTCCCAGAAGGGAGTAATGCCAAAGGTGGCCAAGCCCGCTGTCCCACCACTCTCAATCTATCTTTATCACAGGCTCGCCAGAAGTCAAGGAACACCTACTAACTTGGGTGATTCCCTGGCTGCTAGAACAACGGAAGACTCCATGTAATCTAAAGCCGTAACGCTACCTGTGACTGCCCCCAAGTTTGCGTTTGGAGTATTTTAGAGCAGCAGAATGTACACGTGCAAATATTAGCACGGGTAAAGTTAAAATAACGTTCATTTGGATGCCCTGGTCTATTGCATTCAAGAATCCAACTCCTAGCGCCAGAGGAAAGTGAACTCAGTTTGCATTGAGCATAGCCAATCACTCAATTTTCATTTTGGGGAGTGGGAGATCCTGGTTTAGTCCTTGCTGTATGCATTAGAATGGCAGCTTATCACTACTTGCATAGACCTCATCCAAGTTTTACAATAACACTGAGTTCTCTTTCAAGCAGCAAGACATGGAAAAGAAAAAAATAAGAAGGAAAAAAGAAGGGGAAAAAAAAAAAAAGTGAAATTTTACCTTTTTGTGTCCTTTTCTCTGCAGAAGCTTGTGATGCCATGTAAATAGCTGCAGCTGCTACAGAGATAGGGCTTCTCCCAGGCACCAAATCTAATTCCACAGCTTTACGGGCAATATGCGTTGCTGCCATTTGTACTTGTTTGGGAAGACCCAGATTGGAGCAGAATCTTGACATGAAGTCTCCGGTTGTAATCAGATCAACGCTGGTTTCAAGAGCTTTCAAAATGAGTTTAAAACACCGGCCTATTTCCTTCTTTGAAATCCTGGACACTGCGCATATTTCTAAACATAGAGTAAAAATTAAACTTTAGGCTTGACAGCATTTGCTCCTCCAAAATAATCAAATTTGATTCTCAGTATACTAAGACCCACAAAGAAGGCCAATGTCACAAAGGCCACCATCACTAAATCAGCTTTGCACATTTGTGAGACTTCCAAATCACTTCAGTGAGCGCACATTCTTCATAAGGAGCTAATTAATACAGCTTGCTTACTAAGGGAAATTTGGTACTCAAAGCCAAAAAAATTTGTATCCCTGTCATGGAGAAGTTGCACATATTTACTGCAGAACTTTTGGTTCAAACTCACTTTCAACACTCCCCATCATCCTCCGATCAAAGCAACACCTTCTAAGTTTCACTCAGAATGACTTTCAAATGCTATTTTTTTAAATGCATTTTGACCAAAAATCCCATGCCCGAGAGCCTACTCACATCACAAATGTAACAAATTTCCAGACTCCCTCCCCTCCCACCCAAAGGTGGGCTGTAACCTGAGAACAACTCATTTAGCCCAGCCCAGGAATGAGAAAGCCAACCTCCTACAGTGACGGTAACCGGACCTTTACTTCATAGCAAAATTGAATCTGTATCACCAAAAACTTACCTTTAAATGTTCTTGGGACACCCTCTTGCCTACAGGCTATGTAGAGACAAGCAGAAGCAATAGCATCATTACTCCTTCCCTTCAGGCTCTTTTGCTCATACACTTGCTTGAATAAATTATTTGTTCGATCCTTCAAAGCAAGAAGACTAAATTTAATTAACTCTAGGCCATTTAATTAGCAGCAATATCAAAAATTCATGTGCTCATTATATTATGCTAACTAAGTCAATGCCAGAACAGTTTAGGGAAGGGAGACATGAACTTACAACTATATTTCTAGGGAGGTTGATTCTGTCTGCCATGTTCGTAATTTCTTTAAAAGCATTCATCATTGCACGATCAGAGCTGCTCATAGTTCTGCGATTTTGGTATTTCGAATTCCCAAATTCATCAAAACTTGCTGCACCTGTGCCCTGAAAAGAAACATTTTTGTTGTCAATAAAACATAAGCAACTTCCTCCTCATTTCAAAAGCAATCATCTTCCAGCTTTATACATCTTCATTCAAGGTGCTGAATTCGAACAGTTGTGCAAATAAACATGACTGAAGTAAATCATAAAAATTGAGCATTGTTCCAAACATCAGGTTCTAGACTTTGCACAAGTCTCAAATCATGAACTGATTTCCAAGAACCACAGATTATGCAGGGACTTTTCTTTCCTAATATAACAATAGCTTAATGAATAAAATTAAGAATATGGAGCCAATGTGTGTCTCTCGATACTCCCATCACCAATACTGAGGTCCAAGATTAGGTTTTATGCAACCCGTATGTCATTTGGGCTGCATCTGCACTGTGGCAGACTGGCAAGTCAGAAAAACAAAATTTTACAGCCAGCTGGAGACCAGTTGTTACAATGAGAACTCAAATATGAAAAGGAAAGCATGGGCAAAGAGAACATCCAAACCAATGACCTGTTCAAAACCAGTTTGATACTGTGCCTGCTAGCAGTTGCAAGCCTTAACTGAGGCAAATATAAATATCCATATATTCTACCTTTACAGGAAAACCACGGACCTCTTAAAAGAAAAGCTTGAGGTCTTGGGGGAAGTAAGAGTCACCAATTCAACCTAGCAACTTCAAAACAAGCTTCCAACGTGCTTTTTTTTTTTTTCCTACCCTACAACTGATCGTGCCAATTGCATACTTTATTCAATATGCAATCAATTTTGCCCAACTACGAGGGTCCAAAATGTTTAAGGGCTTCAATTAGCCATCAGTCTGAAACATGGCTTTAACAAATAATGCCAGGTCAGATTAGTAATAGCTGATGATGACAACATGGCCTGTAAGTTCAGAAAAGCAACGTCCATAATTTATTTAGATTGTCTACTTATGTGTTTGCTGTCATAGTGTGTGGGGCCATCAGTTCTCTCAAGTGGAAAACGCTTCCTAACAACAATTCCGTGTCATGAGTAGAAACGTGGATTCCCTGAATCAGCAAGCATTTATTCCTTGCTGGCACCTTCAAACCATTTAGCTGGGCAGGGGCATCCCACTTTCACTGCAGGCAGATCTTGCCATTTGAACAAGCTGGTACGGTGGCTGTTGCAGACACAGCCTATGGCACTGTTCTGTTTTGCCAGAAACAGTAAAATAAAGCAGATCTTGATCTACGACTGACTGCTAACCTGGCTATTCACATCCAGCACGTACAGATAGACTTCTCAAGTTGAAGACTGAGCAACATCTCAGGATGCCCAGGCAGTACAGAGTGGGGCCAGTGAACAAGGCAAATCATACCCTGGCACCACCTTATTCCTCTGAGCTGCCCAGATGGAGTCAGAGCTCATTTCTTCTTTCCTAATCCATGTTCTTGGGAATTGTCCTTCTATTTTAAAACAGCCTCTAATTCTATAATCTCTCCCTGGTGCATATCTGCATTTAATACGTGTTCTTTGGCTGACACTAACAACGCTCACTCCTGACCATTCACTTAGCTGTTCCACTTCTCTACACCCAAGGCTCCAGTTACACCCCATTTCTGATGAGGTCAGCGGATACATCTACAGTTGAGACCCGTATCTGTCGTGCACGTGCACTTTGATACCACTCTGGAGACAGAGGACTCCAGCACAGAACCCTCCCTTCCAAGCTCCCTAGCCCCTTGAAGAGGCCCTCTATGACAGATGCTAGATTTCAAGATCATTCTTGGTTTTTTTTCTACTCCTTCAAACATCCTTTCAGATGAAAGAACCACCCAAAAATGATCCTGGCACCCACACAGCAGAGGGCTGCTCCAAAGGCAATCCTACTTCCTTGACTGCATGACCACCTCCAACTATCCAAAGGTTCCTAGTAAGGTTTAAAGGCAAACAAAGAGCAAGAATCAAGCACAACAAACTTCAGGCCACAAAGAACATTACAAACATAGTTGCAACACTAGACCTTCCTTTCAGGAATTATGCCAGAACAACTTCCCTTGTGGCCCAAAATATACACAAGTCTCAGGTCAAAAGGCTCCTTCCTGGCTGTCATCCCCCTGTCCCCTGCAATGCATCACGACACTCGCGCGCATCACAGCCTCCTAGGCTAGCGCTATGCACAAATGCTTACACAAACTGCATGTGCTCAAAGCCTTGTAGATGCCAGAAGAGCGACTGCAGACAGAGGCCTATCAACCCTGACAGCAAGTCCCCAGTCTTTGTCCACGCAGGCTTCATGCCAGAGAGCCCCTTACCAGGAAACACTGCTCTGTCCTGGGGCCATCAAGTATTCCCCTTCACCACAGAGATTTTTCCCTGGTCCAACTATACAGCACCTAAAAGATTTCTGGGTTTGGTTTTCTTTTGGTAGTGGTTCTCCTTACCCTCTCATTTTTTACTTTCTTGCTGGTGGTACTTATGGTTACCTTTTCCTTTGAGTGTTTGCTTATGCATAATGAAAGTACCGATGCAGCTATAGGCAAGAACTGTTAGCCAAAGGATTTTTCCCCTGTCGGTATGAGCACTCTCCAAGAGCCATACCCAACATACAGCTCGCAACTATAAAAGGGTTGGAAAATACTCTTCCATCTCAACTGCTTAACTAAACCACAGCAATTCTCCCTGCATTTGCTATTTAAATGCACCATCTACTTTCCTTCTGGAGCTTTCAATTGAGGGACAATGCTTTGTTGGCTGCAGCCCTTGCCAACCATGTTAGGAGTCCCTTTCCCTTCATGGGAAAAACAGAAGCCGTACAGTTTTAACTGAAATCAGATAGACCTTAAGAATTCTGTGTTTTACTGTTGTGGCCTTTGAGACACCTACTCATAACCTTCCCACCTCAGCAAGAAAGGTACCTGCCAAAGTCAGGAGTTCCACCTGCTTGGCTTTCAAACAGAGCAGAAACCTCATGGATACAACCCTGGAAACAGCCTCAAAGGTAGCTAGAGTGAGAAAACACACTCCAGTAAACACTGCTAGTCTCTGAAGGGGCTCAATGGAGGTTAGGCTTACAGGGCTGGCAGCCAACAGCTTCGTACCCCAGTATATCCCCTTGAATAGCAGAAAGTAGAAGCATCACCAACATCATCCACATCATTGACAGCACACCAAGGAACGCCCCCCAGGTCCGGCAGCCTTCTTGCCCAGCACAACCAGCTCATGTCACAGTCTGATGGATCCTTTCTCATTTTCAGTCATCAGCCCTTACTCTCCTGCCACCACTTATCAATATAGCACTTCTAGATCCAGGCCCTGCAGCCTGACAGCAGCCAGCTTCCTTTCAGAGGCATCTGATCAAAGGATAGGAATTCTATACCGAGCAATTGCATTTGTTTCTTCTTCAACCAACCTCAACTCTCTTGTAGGTGCAGTCACTACAAAAAGGACTAGCTTAACTGCAAAGGGTGACAAAAGACAACTTTTTCCACGAGATAGGTAGCAAAACTTAGAAGTTTTCTTTTGGATACATAGAAAAGAGCTCTTTAAATCAAGGCAGATGTAGAAGCTGTTGTTCAGTTATTTTTCTTAAATTTTACGCAAGGATTTTAGAAATAACTATAATATTCTGGCAATCAAATCACAACTAATGCCAGACTTCACCACATCTCCAGTTGATCTGCACCGTCATCAGATCAACTGCAGCACATAGTATGTGCCTTCAGAGAGATACAGTTCTGTGCCAATATCCTAAAGATCTGCCTGAAGAATGCAAACCACTTCCATCGCGGCCAACTATGCTATTCATCCTCCTCTTCACAGACAAATTCATCTTTCTTCTAATGCAGGCTGTTGCTGCCTCACACAGATGGGTCCCTTAAGTACTAAAACCAATTGGGAACTAATCCCTTCACATGGGCAGCCTCCCTTTTGCTGCTAGCAGATACAGACCACACTTACCCCCAGCAGAAAGGGGTCCCGAAGCAGCACCTCCTGGTGTCTTTCCCCCCCTTCCTTTACTATTTCAAGGCAACAGCCAGTCACCAGAACTGTACTGTTGTAACCAGCAAGCGGTTTGGACTCCACTTCCACCCACATTCCCAGGAGTTTACAATAGATCTCTAACATGATGTGCCATGAGAATCATCAATGTCCTTCGCTTTTGCATTTTCCACACCACCAGTTGTGTTTTGCGGTTTGGTTTTTTTTTTGGGGGGGTGGTGGTGGTGGCTTTTTGTTCTAAAGATTCTATCACATGCAGCTCTACCTCAAGCAGAAAGGAATAACCTGTTCCTGTCCCATGTGAAAGGCTAAAGCAATCTCTGGCACACAGATCTGGGGTCTACTCCAGGCCATTCTAGGAATTGTTGTTAACTGAGAAAATACAATCTTATCCTGCTTCATCCTCTGGAATTCATGGAGGCTGTCCTGTACTCTGTCGGATACTACTTATCTTCATGACTACACCAATTTCACCCTTGTTCAACCACTGAGCATTATCTAGGTCAATCCTCATCCCAGCCTACTGCTGGCAGTGACTTCGGAAGGCTGCTTGAGAAACGTACTAGTTCCCTGGTTTAGTTATTTTTGCTGAAAAATTCATGCCCTTTCTGCACCGATCGGAAATTTCTTCAGCATCTTCTGATATAAGCCATTCTCCTCCTTCCAAATGACTGAGGAAAAGTGCAGCTCCTGATACAGAGTTCACATCAATGAGCTGACATCCCAGAGCCCGGGCTCACTGGCAAGACAAACACAGGAACCCTTGTCCAGAACACATCCTGGTTTGTCAGAGAGATTCCCAATTGCCTGTAGAAAATAACGTGTCTCTTCCGCCATTCCTCCCCAGGCAAATAAAATATCCATAGCAGGACAGACTGCCCCCTCTACATTCTCCAACCTGATCCTGACAGTTCCAGTACCTGGACATTTTTACTCACAGTTCTCCTAGGTTAAACGATGCCACGCTGACAGTCATACTCGTGCTTGGATGTTCAGCTGTGGTGGGTTGACCCTGGCTGGATGCCAGGTGCCCACCAAAGCCATTCTATCACTCCCCTCCTCAGCTGGACAGGGGAGAGAAAACATATTGAAAGGCTCATGCGTCGAGATAAGGACAGGGAGAGGTCACTCACCTTCATGGGCAAAACAGACCCAACTTGGGGAAATTAGCTTAATTTATTACAAATCAAATCAGAGTAGGATAATTAGAATAAAAACTAAATCTTAAAACACCTTCCCCCCATCTCTTCCTTCTTCCCAGGCTTAATTTCAGTCCCATATTCTCCACCTCCTCCCCACCAGCAGCGCCGGGGGACAGGGAATGGGGATTGGGGTCAGCTCATCACACACTGTCTCTGCTGCTCCTTCCTCTTCAGAGGAGACAGTCCTCCACAAACTGCTCCAGTGTGGGTCCTTCCCATGGGCTGCAGTTCTTCACAAAC